TGTTCAGGGCGAAATCGAAGATCCGGGAACTCGTGAAGCCAGGGTGTTGCTAGAGACACTGTGGAGACACCCCTTATACAACGAAAGCGCGATTGTCGATGCGACGCTTGGCGCGTCGGCCTCCCCGCTGGTGCAAAAACCGTGCGCTTCGAAAGACGCAACGTACTGCCCTGCACACGGCGTCGGCGTCTCTTCTCTGCGCCACTTGATGACCCCACTTCTCAGGCTGCTGCTGTTGTAGTTGACCCTACAACCCCTGTTATTTCGGGAAACAGTAGCGAAAATACCAGCCTCTTCTGTTGCGGCCGCTCCGACCACTTCGACATCACGTGGTACACGTAAAAAAATCGCCCGCACAAAGGGTGCTATACACCGACCTGCCGAGACGTGGACAGTGCTGCCAGCATCAAGGAAGCGTATCCAAGCTTGCCGGTGGCTCAGTCCCTACCTCCACAGGACACGTCTTCGGAAGACAGCTTCAGCCTGGCACTGGATAGTAGCATCGGACTGGCTAGCCTTGCCGATTTTGACGTCGAAATGGGAGCTCCACGTGAAACAAAGCGAGGTCACACTTCCAGCTCTTGCTCCGATGAACGCAGTGATGGCCGTGGTAAATCCCAACGGTCCCAAAAACCTCGACTATCTTCTGGAGGATCGAACAGTGCGTTGTGATTAAGGAAGTGTCCCCTGGACACTTTCCAGGACACCGTCTTGAACTATGCTTCCAGGTTATTCTTTACTTTTCATTATGGCTACTACACTGCATATTATTTCATTGAACGTTCAGGATTTTCGCAGTCCAGCAAAGCAGGCTGAAGTGATTAGTGTCACCCGTGGTGCAAATTGCGATATTTTGTGCCTCCAGGAAAGAAATTTCTTCTGGCTGTTCGACGTGCTTGATTTTAAACGAAAGCTCAGCCTAGATTGTTATTTCTCTTTCGCTACATCTCGTTTTACGGGAGTAGGTATAACTATTTTTATTCGGGCTCTATTACGGTATCATCATGCTTTTTACGATGGTGTGGACAGGGTTTTGGCTTTAGACTGTAGGTACTTTTCTTTCAGATTAAGGATACTGTGTGTGGATGAGCCATCAAAAGCTGGACAGTTTAATGACTTTTTTAGAGACCTGGACGCGTTTTTATTCTTGACGGTCGTGATGTCATTCTGATTGGCGACTTTAACTGCGTTCTAAATACGCGAACCAATGTACAAAGTCCTGGCTGGAGCCGGTCTGCTTGGAACTCACACGACGTGTGACGCCTTGTCCACGTCTTTTCATTACTGGATGCGCACAATGTAGTGCACGGAAATACCTTTGTTTAGGCATGGCGACGCGAACGATTCTCCAGCAGGCTCGAACAGGCTTATATCCCGCGAGCGTAAGAGGCGTTTGTCTCCGATTTATGCGTTCCATCCTTCCCACCTTCTCCTCTGTACTGTACGTATCTGATCATCGGCCTATTGTCTTGAAGCTCGAAATTCCATTTTCTTTTTCGGAAAAGCCTCGACGTCTTGATCAGATTTGTCACGCGCAATACGTGTGTCGCTCACAGCGTCTGGTCTTGAAGATTGGGATGCGCTTAAAACACAGTGGCACCTGCACTGCGCAGTAGAGAGGCGTTTGCTTGGTCGACGCGTTTCTGAAGAGCTTGCTGATACTGCGATGAAGTTACGCATTGCTTTGCACGCCGAAGCTCCTTCTCCTCTGATGCGAGCTTGGCAGCGTGAACTGCGTGCACGCTTTCAGCGCTTGACTGCTGCTTCGTCCCTGGCGCCAGCAGCATGGCGCTGTAGACACAACCAATGTGCAAATCCCGAGGTGCTGCGCTACGCGAGACATTCGTTTTCTGGGCAATCACAGTCATCTGTCTCTATGGCAGCACAAATACCACCTGCACAGCCGAATGCGTGATCGCTCTGTTTTTTTTTTTTGGCGCATTTTGAAGCAAGGTTGTGTTTGACCATGCAGATTAAGTGTGATGAAACACCGCCAATGCTTAGAAGTTTGCCCCGTATTCCTCAAGAAGCTGCGGATTGCCTGCACATCCCTCCGTCGGCTGAAAAGCTAAAGGCAGGTACTGAAATGTATGAAACATGGAACGGCCCTTAAGCCAGCACGGTTTTTCTACTGATTTTTACTTGACATTTGGGAATGCGAGTAGTGCTAACTTTATCGCGGTTATCCGGCGATGCTACGAGAACGGTGTCTTTCCATCCAGTTTTCGAGATGGATCGCATTGTTAGTATTCGAAAAGGTGATGCTTCCTCTGTTAATCCTGCAGATTGCAGACCTATCACGCTCATCAACATTTACTATAAGGTATTTGTGGCGGTAGCCGTTAAACATTTGAGGAGTCTGTTGAACACCCTGGTAGGTCATCACCAGGCTTCATCAGCGCTTGGACGAAAAATAGACAGCTTGTCATTTACCACACGTGATATCATAGCCTATACTCTGTCACGATCTGCGCGTGGTATCCTTGTGTCTTTGGACCAGGATAAAGCGTTTGACCGACTAGAGCACGCGTATATCTTTAATGTGCTCACAGCCTTCGGCGTCTCTCATTCGTTCATGAAAATCATTAGAAATACCTACACTAGTCTGAAAATCACACTAGTTCTGGATGGTTGAGAAAGTGTTGCCTTTTCCATAACACGTGGGGTCCGTCAGGGATGTCCATTGTCTCCTGGGCTGTTTGTCCTCAGCTTTAAGCCATATTTGCATGCTCTTGACGCGGATTCACGTGTCCGGGGTCTTGCGCTTCCTGGTAGCAGTGTTGTGAAAGTCACAGCTTTCACTGATGATATAACCTTGTACCTTTCAGATGAAGATAGCCTTTCACGCAGCTTGCGTGTATTTTTCCAGTATGGCGACATTTCAGGTGCAGTGTTGAACATCTCCAAATCCCGGTATTTCTTCATTGGCTCTTCAAACTCCAGGCTTAGCGCCGGTTTTCCTATTCAGCTGGCCCCGTCCCTTCGTATTTTAGGTAATTTATACAACCACTACGGCATTTGCGTATCCGTTTGGTTAAACACTCTCGAATAAGTAAGAATGAAAATTCAGCATGCACTGTATTTTGACTTCCCGCTTCTTGAGCGGAGGTACCTTGCCCAGATTGTGTTTTGCGGTCGCATTTGGTACCTTTCTCACGTCGTGCAACCTTCTTTACGTATCGTGCGATCACTGCAGTCTGCATTGTGTTCCTTTTTTTGGTCAGGCGGCACTGAGTTGGCCTCTCGTGCGGCACTGGGACAGCAGCGTTCTAAGTGAGGCTTTGCATTCCCTTCAGTGTCCATACGTTGTCTGCTGCTGGCACTGCGCTTCCTTTTGCGCCTAGTGCAAGAGGAGGAATCTGCCGCACGAACACTTGCATTCTACTTTCTGGGTACTCACCTTCGGCATTTGATGCCTAATGGGCACCTTAACAGGGGGCGGCAGTCAATAACACTTCCTGCGTTTTATGAAACAACTGTTGCGTTTTTTCGCCATGTCCAGTCGAGCTGTCTTGGCATAGATGTTTTGAACAACCACATAGTTGAGACAACTGCTGCTTTGTTGCTTCCGTTAGGTCCCCCCAGCTCACCGTGCTCACTCTAGACAGGTGTCTTGAAGCACAGTTAACGGCTTCTTTTCTGCCTGGACATCTCCGGGACTTCATGTGGTGCCTGGGATGGGGTGTGCTTCCCACTCTCGACCGCCTCGAAAGGTGGAGAATGGTCCAGTCAGCAACATGTCCAAACTGCTCCCTTCGGGAAACAAATCAGCATTTTCTGAGGCTTTGTGTCATTGCTCGCGTTTTTCGGAGAGCCGTAAATGCTGGATTTCGCTGCCTCAGAGTAAATCGCTTCGTTTCTTCTGAGCGTTGTTCGCGAGGCCGCTTCGCTTGTCTTCTCATTGTTCCCGGCTCTTTCTGCCTCTGGCGCAACCGCTGCGAGGCGCTTGCCGCGGGCCGCCGTCGTTGTGCGCTCTACCCGATCCTAGAGCGATTGTACTCGGAGCTGGTGTCTGTTTTGTCGGAGGAGCTCTTCCTCGGTGAAGAGGAATTTCTTCGGCACTGGACTTGCCCTTTTATGCCGGTATTTGACGGACGAGTGAGACTTGTCTGTCGGCTGGCGGGGTATTTCTAGGCTGTTGTGTCGATGCGCTGGCATAAATTGCATGCCATCATGTAAATATGAAAAATGTACATATTCATGTTTTATTTTTGTCTTTTGTTTACCTTGAAATATTTTTTGTGGTTGTGTTTGTGTGAACCATGGAATGTACATGTTCTTTCAACGTCATCTCATATCCATGTTTATGTAAATGACGTCTGTTTTGTCATCATTGTTAGAGTATGTCTAAGAAGGAAATGTTCTGTTGAGTGTTGTTGACGTTTGTGACAATAATTTTTTTTTAAACACACTGCAGCAATTTCCACTGGCTGCGCACGGGATGGCAATATGCTCTCCCATAATAGAGTACCTAGTACACAAAATTTTTAACCACTTTTTCTAAACACATGTAATCTTAACCAACGTATGTGGAACGCTTTAAAGGAATTTAATAATTGATCAAAGACAATTTTTGCGTGCACCAACATGCTTTATTCACCTTTATCAAGGAAAGTACGCTACTTAAGACCAAATGGGTGACCACAGTCGAAAACGTTTGCCTGCTGCTAGTTAGCCTGCCCTCATTTTTGTATGTCATAGCAATTTGTTTAAGAGATTCCTATGCGAGGCTAAAGCTCCGCTTCTGATTAGGTCATAGCGATAATGGCTTGGTATTTCACAAGATCCTGCAAGCCTGTAGTTTACGCCTGTCTAAAAATACATGAAATCTTGAGGCGTGCTCCGAGTTATTGCCATTGGCTTCTGCAACCACTAACGACGCATTTGTATTTCGCATTAAGTGATCCCTTTTTTTGTGGTCGTGTAGCTTGCCGATGCAACTGAGAGAAATGGCAATTAGTGTTTAATAAATCATGTTCCGAACCTACAACGCAGCAGCCATGACTGCCCTGGTGGTGTTTGCTTTCCTGGCGTACGCACTCACTCAGGTAGTGGTGAAGCTGAGCGCCAACAAGCACAGAACACAGAGCATCTATTACGGGTCCGGTCTTGTACACGGTGGCACACTTCTCAACGTTATGGACCGGGGCGTGGTGCAGTATCTAAACCTTCGTTACGCCAAGGTAACGTACAAGTCTTCTTTAGTCTGGGCTGTACCGTAACGTACCAGCGGGCAACGCATGTCACTGTAAAACATAACTTGCCGTGAGCAGGAATGCGTTATTTTTTCAGCCACTTTTCTTTCTTCTTATTTACATTACATTAGTCTAATAACTTCCCCTATACATTCCTTGACATTATTGTCTGTTAGATCTCATTACTATTGTGTCAAAACACGGAACACAAGCCCTTAGGTATACTTCTTTCTCTTATATATATATATATATATATATATATATATATATATATATATATATATATATATATATATATAGAGAGAGAGAGAGAGAGAGAGAGAGAGAAACGCAATTCCCACACAATGAACGTTTCAGCACAGTTTGGTCCGACGTTTCGGCCGTGGGATCGGCCTTTGAGAATATTTATTCACTGTCAGCGGTATTTTTAAGTTCAATAAATCTAAATGAACCCTTCGCGTCTCGACTTCTTTGGAACACGATAATTGTGAATTGTACGAATGAGCGTAATAGCGTCGGGTCAAGGCTCTTATATCAGTTATTCTCAATGTAGGTTGTTTTCGGCAAACTAAACTAACGTGTTCATGCAAACACCAGTGCTCCCGCAGTATACGAAGACACTGCGTTTGCATGTAGTCTTGAGCACAGCAGAAATTTCTTGCAATTCTTAAGTTAATACACATTAAGCCAGTTCTCACAGACTGCCCAGCTGTATAAAGTAACCGATAAGTACTATAGAATGTCTATGCACAAAGTGTGTAATTGAACTGAACGTTTAAAGCAATGTAGAACAACCTGAATTGACGAATACTTTCAGATTGTCCTCGTTTAATATGAATAAAAATATAGAAATAAGCAGTCTGGTGCACACTCTTTTGATATCTTATATATTGACATAGGAAAGAATAAATTTAAGGTGCAGTAAGCGGATGCTCCTTACAATTGCTATACGCATCGTGCTTTATGATGTCATTGCACGGTGAGGACAGATTTAAGAGCCTCGTCACATAAAAACTATTAAAAAAAACAACACGAAAGCTCGTGCATAAACTAGCCACCTACGAAATTCACGTAGAGTTAAATATCGTACCACGATGGACATAAGTGCGAATAATGCTATCTAATAAATTGCAGATGGATTTAACTTGTGATACCCTGAGCATACACAGGTGCTTTAAGAATTAGTTGCTTCCAGATATTACCCACAGCAAAGTGGTCAACCTTCGTTATGCCTTCGTTGTCCATTTTTACCACCAAATATTCTGTACAGCTTCTGAAAAGTTAGCGATGACGTACTGGTATACCACAGTTTCTCTCATATACGCCTATAACTGCAGTTCAAGAATCAGTAGGGGTGATTACTGTTTGAATGATGTTCTATGTCAGCTAGTGTTGGGTTCAGTGACCTTAATATGGCTGTACTATTGCTAGTAATTATTACTGCTCACTCATTATTGGTATATATTGAACTTGATTCCATGCACACGTAAATGATACTTGATACTTATATAGGCGCTACGCTAGTATACCAGCGGCATTTTATCACTTTACCAAACTTTATTGTGCTTTCGCATGCATGCACGTGCTTTTGTTCTTCCCCTACAGTTCATGTTATATCAGCCTAACTTTGAGTGAAATATTTGTAGCGTTATTCAGCAGATTACACGATGACTATTGTGGCAACAGGACGCCCTGATGTTCTGCAGTGTAGAATATTGCTCGTTACCTGAAAGCTTTCATGTCACGTTCAATCTTGCACAGGACATTGCACAGAGTACAACCCGCCTGGTGCACGTGATTCCTCTTTGTGCCTGATTTGTGGCAGTGTGATGTGTGTGTAAGCATGTGGGAGGTAGTGGCCAGATACTGCACCAGGGTGGCCAATCCTTCTCTGGTGAGGGAGTGCGTTCTCGGCGGTGTTTGCCGGTGAGGCCGCACCCCAGGCCTCTTAATGCAGTTCCGTCAACACGCGGATTTTTTTTTAATCCGGTTGGAAACTGCGCGATACCGGAACAAACGGAGGTTAAGGATATCATAGCTGAAATCAAGGAGAAGAAATGGACATGGGCAGGGCATGTATCGCGTAGACAGGATAACCGCTGGTCACTAAGGGTAACTGACTTGATTCCCAGAGAAGGGAAGCGGGTTAGGGGGAGACAGAAGATTAGGTGGGCAGATGAGATTAAGAAGTTTGCGGGTATAAATTGGCAGCAGCAAGCACAGGACCGGGTTAACTGGCGGAACATGGGAGAGGCCTTTGTCCTGCAGTGGACGTAGTCAGGCTGCTGCTGCTAATGATGATGATGATTATTTGTGTGTATTTCTCACTCCAGGTACCTGAACGCTTCAGGCGCTCTGTGCCGTACGTGGCCAAGTCGACCGGCGTTGAGATGCAGGGACATCCACAGCCGTGCGTACGTGGTGCGTACGGCGCGTTCCCGTCGCATCCTTTTTCCCTGTCGGAGCAGTTTGAGGACTGCCTCTTCCTCAACGTGTGGACTCCGCTCAGGGGAAGAGGCGACGACGACATCGCAGCGAGGCCAGTCGTCGTCGTCCTCGTGGGCGGCAATTTTGTGTCCGGAGGAAGCGGCGACTACGAGCTATTCGATGGGTCGGTCATGGCCTCGCTATGGAACCAGGTGAAAACCTTGGTTTTCTTTATTGCATAATTTTTCTAAGCTAGACGCCGTAAATTCTTATCTATCGGCAATATACATGTATTTATTCCATCCTAAGTGGTGTCCTGCGTTATTCTGCGTTACAAAACGTGAACCTAAAGGTGTTGATAACAGAGTATTCTAGGCTCAATTTTTCACGCCGCCATAGAAAATTCCCCTTTGGTAGTGGTTAAACCTGCAGTGGTCGATTCAGCATAATGTTTGAAACTGAGATGCCAATAAAAATGCTAAAGTCCACTCATGCAGCAATGCTGACAAGATACAGCGGTGCCAGTAGCACTTCTCGAAAACTGTTCATTACGCTCAGTGTTCTGTTTTTTAGCATTGAGTGCAACTGTAATTAACTACCTTCATGCTGACGTTTTCTGCCATTCTTGTGCATAAAAAGCAGGCACACTTCGTGACAACTTGCTGAAGCAGCATTGCCAAAGCTACGTGGGCAGAGCTTCTCCACATGTGGTATTACGACAGTAATTTTCTGGCTGGGCTGCGTATAGTTGTAGCCATAGGCATGAGCACGAAAGGGGGGATCAGGGGGTGGGCAAGAGAGGGGGGCTCAATTCCAGCCCCATAGATTCAAATAAAGGGAGGGGGCAAAAAGGGGGGCGTAAAGTCAGTCCCATACATTGACATGAAAGGGAAGGAGGGAGGCAGAGCTGCGATGAGCCTTTGCCTGCCCCTTAAGGCGAACTCTGTGTACGCTTATGGTTGTCGCATCCAATACATTAACTTTTTTAATCCGTCATCGGGACGTGAGGTTCCTTTACTTCCTCGCAAGCCGGACGCTCCAGGTACTTCAGTTCGTAAGCAGGCGTCACTAACACTTTCATGCTTGTGCTTATGAGCATGCTCATTACAAACTTAGATGTGTCTGCACGTTTTAAGTTAGAAAAGATTACGCTAAAAATGGCATTTTCATTTCAGTGCTAATACAGATACTTCAAGCATGTTACATGTATAATAATAAACCGCCTTACACTAACTGTGATAACTGATGTGATCAGGATCACGTGTATCTTCAATTTTTTGTCGGTGCAGGGAAGACAAATAGTAGTTTTTTGAAGTTTGAGTGAAGAAATAAAAATACAAATCCGTGTTCAATAGGGTCAACGAATTTCTTTTAGCCAGTAGAATAAACAGTCTTCCCATCAGAGGAGGATCGGTTGTCATACTCTAACGTGATTATTCATTCATTATAACACGAACAGCAAAAAGTCAACCTCTTCTTTGGAGTAACAGGTGAGGAGGAGCTATTTCAGCCATAACCTGGGCTATGACTGACGACACAGAACATAATCGCTTTACTAGCCGAAATCATCACACTGTTGGGCGAATTGCATGGATAAGTTTGTAGCTTGAGTGGGCAGAGTTTCAATAAAAAAAAAACCTTATTGCTCAGGCATAGTCGTAAAATCTTAACAGCCATGTAAATCTATCAGGAAATGATGTAACAATGTCTGTACATCTAAATATGTTTTTTTTTCGTAAATGCAGGTGATTGTTATCCCGAACTACCGCGTTGGTATGCTGGGTTTCTACACGACAGGCGGCGATAACACCACCCGAGACGCCGGCTTGGCCGACCAGGTCCTGGCACTCGAGTGGGTGCGCACGCACATATCGGACTACGGCGGTGATCCGAAGAAGGTGACTCTCTTCGGCCACGAAGCAGGCGCTACCGCCGTAGGACTGCATCTCTCCTCCTCGACGAGCTCGGCGCTCTTTGACCGAGCAATACTGCTGAGTGGATCGCCACTGCGTTCAATGCCCAAGCACGGGGAGAGCATAATACGAGAAATTTCTCACGACCTCCTGTGCAGCGACTGAAACGAGCCCGCCAGACGTCGCTGTGGACGTAACTTCCCTGTCTCAAGATCAAGTCCATACATAGCTTACTCGAACACCAACGAGCGGTCACGCTTGGCGGGGCCGTGGCTATTTTTAACCCTTCGTTCGGCAAGAGCGCAGTCGACATGAATCGGAGGTCTTCGCAAGAGCTCCAAGGCGAAACAGGGGACGCTGCCTTCGAGAGACGCAAGGACATCCTTGTCGGCACGACTGAGAACGAAGGGAGCGCCTACACTAGCACCCTCCTTGCATTCTACGGTGTGGAACACGAGGCAGACCTCGACGAAAAAACGGCTGCGCAGATCCTTCATACCTACTTGAGACACCATGGCGTCAGAGTCGACGAGAAGATTCTGGAGACCCTTCTTCAGCGTGATAAATCGAGCAACGTGGTGCGCGCCCTGTCGCACGCTATAGGCAACTTCGTTGTGCACTGCCCGCTGAAACGGTTCCTGGAGAGCTACACGCGAAGTGACCCGAGCCGGTCGGCACGCGCCAATGTCTACGCGTACTACTTTAGACACGTTCCCGATTTTCGATGGTGGCCGTACTGGATGGGCGCGCCTCAAATGCTTGACTGGATATACCTTTCGGGAAATCTCCAGGGTCTTCGCTCGGAGAAGATAAACATCGGGGACACCGAGATTCTTCTCTCCAAAAAGCTGGCCAGTTTATTGTCCTGCTTTGCACTGACAGGGTAAGGTGACAACGCAATGCGACTGGCCAATGTTCAACCTCGTAGAATAACGTCCTTACTTATATATTTACGAGCTCAATGATTTATACCACCATGCCACTCACTACAAGATTTTAGCAGTGATCGCTGCCTAATGGTAAATAGTTTTTGCCAAGAAATTCAATCGAGCCAGCGAGACACCAGTTTAAACAAATGCGCATGTGAAAAAAAAAGTCAGGCCTGCGTCGAAGGCGCAGCACAGTCACAGCGAAAGCTAGAAGAGCGGCCTTTCAGAGCTTTTTCGAAACACTCACTGGTTGCGTAACTACTGCAAGCACACCTGCTTGATACCCACGAGGTCATTATTAATAAGTTTGTTCGGGTAGTAGGCTGGCATTCGCTATGCTATTTTTCATCATTCTTCTGGGAAGCGTGGTATCTGCTAAACACGTGCGAGGAAATTTGTGCCAATTGTTTTTGCAATGGCTGACGACGGTGAGGAAGTATGGCTGAACTGGGTATGCGCCACAGTTAATAGGGGAACAAGAACAAGGTTTTGTAACTGGTTGGAGCATTGGACGTCCCACTCGTTTTGCTATTTGCATTGTGGGATGACTTATTGTTCTTTCGCTGTTTTAAAACGCTTTATAAGTAGTATTAACGCGATTGCTTTCCCGACATCATAAAGGCGTGCCTAAGGCACAGGCACCGTGTAGCTCAGTGGGGTGAAAGCGAGGTGTTAACCACTGAGCCACCCCGGAGTAATAAATAAAAAAAACGGTGTAGCTCAGCGGTAGAATACTGGGTTTGCACCCAGCGAACCCGGGTTCGAGCCACACTGTGTTATTGGTGCTAGGTCAAGACTGCCTAAGGCAAGTTTGACAGCAAGTTACAAGCACCAGCGTTGCCCAGTAATAGAATACTGGGCTCGCACTCAGGTTCAAGCCCCACTGTGTCATTGGTGCTAAGTTTGTTTTTCCCAATATCACGCTATGTGGTTACGCACACCTGCGGCGGCGGCGGCGGACAACTGTTCGTGAGCCGATTTGTGATCTCATTACAGCTTTCGCTGTAAAAACTTGTAAATACTTAAGAAAATAGACATGGTGTCCTGCCAACATACGGCATGATTTTGTCAAAACCGTCGTGTCGTGCAGTAATCCGGAGAAGTGCACCCATTCGTCATTGGCACACTGGGCGAGGGCAACTGACGGTAAACTCCGAACCCTGGTTGTGGAAAATGCCACGACACTTGTGATGCAGGAGGGGTTGCCGTTCGGTGACGCCTGTCAAGAATGGGAGGGGGTCATCACGAACGCCTTCATTGGTGCCGAGAGGACTCACAATTCCGCTATAAGAGTTCTGAAAGGCACCCAGGTACAGCTGCAGCAACTCCAGGTAAGCAGGAGGTTTGTGGGTGTTTACATCGTGCATTGATTATGTGGTGTTTTCTCCGGCGATAGAGCAGCTACGGTGACCTAAGCACGACCAAAGTTTGTAGAGAAAATCATGAGCTGCCCATGTGACTGCACAGAGCTGTAACGTTTGTGTTTAGATTCACTTTAACGAAGTGAAAAACCATTGGGTTTTCTTCCTGCCTTACTACGTCATTACTAAGCTCAATATATACAATTTTGGCAATTAGAGCACCCATTGAGCCAAGACCCTTTAAGTAATAATTTAAGTAGGTGGAAATTTTGGAATTCACTCAGGCACATTCAAGAAATCGATTTTGCCCTTAGGACTCACTCGGACTCGCACTCAGCAGAGTTTTCCATATACGAACTCACTCTGACTCATTCCCACGAAGAGTTATTTTCATTGGACTCATTCGCGCTCAAACTCATCAAAATATTGAACGCTCAAACTGTGCGTGACTCACAGAGCGATTTGAGTGCGAGCGAATAGACTCATGAGCGCATTAGCCTAGAATTATAATTCCGACCATGCTCACAACAATTGTTATCAATATATTGTGTAATCAGTGCTCTGCTACTAGTGCTTGCTATCCAGTAAAGATGTTTTAAAAGAGACGAGTTACGCGAAATATATTTAAGAATCATTTTGTGGAACAGTTGGCGGGTAGAGGGGTGAGGTCTTAGACAATCTCCACTTAAATCACGCCTCTGATCAATAAATATTGAAACGGTGAATGAACGCTACTGATTTGGAATACGTGTGGACAGACGTGAATACAAACGTTAATCCAGGTAAGGCTGAAAGTAAGGCTAGACATTGGGCCGGCAAAATATAGTGAAAGTCAGACTCACACGACCAATATATCTTGGGCTTTGGACTCGCTCAGACTAAGGACTCACCAATTTTGCTAAGCTGGACTTGCTCTGACTCGCACTCACAAAATTTTACTTGAACAGGACTCACTCTGACTCAAACTCACCTGAAATGTTTCTCACCCGGACCTACCTTAGAATGACTGTTCACCGCCATATTCTCCTGTGATTTGCCTTCAGTGTCATGGCTCACTCTTTCGGCATAGTTGCAACTTATTATTTGAAGTTTTCGCGGGAGTCTATTGAAGGAGTTCCTCACGTTGTGCAGCATAACCACACAAATAATTTGGCCGATTTGTTAAGGCGTATACGTTCTAACTCATTGTTATGACCTTTGTCTACGTTTACTCAGCAGCTTCTTTATTTTGAAAACTTAAATTCAAATTATTTTGCTCACATACCCTTGCTGTACTTTCTGTGCTCCTGTGACGTAATTTTTTCCTAATCTGTACGTTGTTACTCTCTTAGATTTAACAATTGAAATGGTATAGCGGATTATCCTCTCAAAGCTAGAAGCTCTGGCCAAAATTCTCAGTCGCAATCTATTTGAAATTACTGTACTTCTGGTCAACCATGCAAAGTTAAGATTACTGCACTTCTGGTCAAACATGCAAAGTGGTTTATTCTTACAGCAGTTGTCAATTCGTATAGTGTAAACATCAAGCAATTGTAATGTATCTATGACCCTATGCACCAATACAACTTGTTTGTTTATATTTGATGAGCCTCTCGCGTAATCATGCTCATTGTTGAGTGGAAGTGCACTCTTTCCAATAAAAGGAAAATCATACAGTAACTTGCTGCCTTTTCTTGCTTATTACATTTGAAATCAGCTCCTCTTGCTTGTGTCGCACTTTTCGCAGCAGCGACGACAAGGAGGAGATGAGCAACGCCAGCGGTGGCAGAGATGCTGTGCCACTCGCAATCACTCGACTCAATGTCGGTGGGACGCCGCGTTCCTATGTGGGCGACTTACCTCGCCAGGTTTATCAGGGACAACAATTTGCAGCGCTTGAACTGGAGCAATATTGACTAGGAGCATCAGATAGAGCGCTTTTCTTGAAAGTCTTGAATCGTGCGTTCATCGTCACAAAAACAAACAAAGCAACGTTTTATAAAAATCATGATTCACAAAGATACCCTCTGTAGTCTTCAATTTAGGTAGCGCATACCCTTACCCATGATTACTTTTGAATAAATCTCATTCATTCAACTAGCCTTGGGAGAGAGATTCAAATGCCTTTCTTCATCTTGTATGTAATAAATGCGAAGCACTCCTTACTGAATTGTGGGTGTTCAAATCGTTTTATATGCTTATCTATCTATATATCCAGCTGCCTACAGCTGGCTGCCCTCGCAAACAGCTTCTTAAGAAAGGGTAGACAAAAATGGTTTAGAAGAGTGAGGGGGCTTACTAAATACGTCTGATTGGTCATAACAGGAATAAGGTCCAAATCCTGTCACGTATGCCAGCATCCTTTTCTCCAGACACATGTGGCACATACCCTCATATGGGGCTATGGTATGCTGGTAAGCACCACTAGGTGAATAAATCTGTATCTACCGAGAAGCGGTGATTAAAGACATTCGTGAATAAATTGTGAGAGCGTTAAGCAAAATTGACTACTGCAGCATTTACGCGAAGAACGAAAAGAAAATAGAGATTGGGGTCCCAGCAGGAATTTACCACAAGCTTTATGCGTGGTAATTAAGTATTCTACCACAGAGCTACGTCAGGTTTCAGTACTGCTAACAAAATACACCTTATGGCAGCTGTAATGTTTGTGAAAGTCAGTTTTAGTTGCAGTGCTGGCTATGTATTTCTATACGCATTACATTCCTCTGAATATGATACGATCATTAGCTCTATCATGTCTCTGATATGAACACGAGTTTCTACCCTACGGGTGCCATGTCGGTTTAGTGCAAATTGTAATTAGGCACCACCCACTGAAGTTAGTTCATGCAGCATTATGCAACGCTATCATCCTAGCAAGCATAAGCACTTCATA